AACCACTGGGATGATGCTCAGAGCTTCATGCCGGAGAGATTCCAACACAGTTCCATTGATTTTGTAGGTAGGTGGTTATTCTTGAAATTATATTTTTTGTTTATTTTTTTAAAAAATAAATATGATTCAAACATATAATTACTGATATTTAATTATTTTGATTTTTTACTTGAATATTTTATTTAACTAGTCTTAAAAAGTGAACGGTTCAGATTATCAAAATAGACCTACCAAATCCAAATGTTTCAACTTAAAAGAAAGCACACTCTTTTTATTTTATTTTATTATTATTAGTTGAGAAATTGAAACCGCATGCTACGGTTCGATTTTAACCGTTACTAAATATGAAGTTTTAAGAGTTCTATAAAATAGTAATACAGGTTTCTCTTCCGTCGGTGATTATTGGGCCTTTGTGGGGTTCACCATAAAGTCTACAATAATGATATTTTGAATTATTTATTTTTAAGGCCTTCCAAAACAATTCATCTTTGAAAAAAATTAAAGTTGATTAGATAACTTTAATTATATGATCAATTACATTTGTTTCAAAATAATTGACGATATATTTTTTGCATAAATAATATGCTTAGATAGCCTTAGAAATTGAATGATTTAGAACATCAAGGCAGCCCATTGTCGGCCCCATAGAAGCCCAACACAGCACCGTCCTAAATCATACTTAATTTTATTTTTATTTTTTTGTAGATGATATGGTATGAAGAGTCTTATAAATTGAATAGCTCAAATCATTAAAACGGAATTTGTTGTAAATCCTATGGGTCCGAACAACACTCTCTAGTCTAAATTTAAAACTGGAATAGTGAGTGTGTTCCCTTTATAATAAAAATCTATAGAATCCTCCATTAGAATAAATTAAAAGAGATAGAAAGGATGCTTCATAAATGTTTTCTATCTTAATCTTTAATGTATAGCGTATCGCATTTATAATTTATTTTCTAATATTCAAAAAAATAAAAAAGTATTTAAATATATTATTTATGTTGATATTTGTCCTAAAAAAAATTAAAAACAAAAAAAACGACAACATTATTGGTTCAATTCCATCGATTTGAGAAACATACGGTATTATAATGGGTTTGATTCTATTTGTTTTTCTTCTTACAACACCATTTTGCAGGAAATAACTTTGAGTTTATTCCGTTTGGGGCCGGGAGGAGGATATGTCCGGGGATGTTGTTTGGATTGGCAAATGTTGAGCTGCCTCTAGCTCTACTTCTCTACCACTTCGATTGGGAGCTTCCAGGGGAGATGAAGCCAGAAGATTTGGATATGAATGAGGGGCATGGAGCTATTGTCAGGAAGAGAAATGGGTTGTGCTTAGTTCCCACTCCTTTTGTTCCTTCATTTAGTGGATGAAGCAACCAATGAAGGCCTAGAATGAGCTGTTTAATAAAAACATCAATAATAAGAGAACAAAACCCCCAAAAAGGAGCTGTAATAATTGAAATATTACTTGCTCCATTGTCTTCCAAATTTGTATTTCCTATCATGTAATCAAGTTGTGTTTCCTTCAGTTTGCTTTCTCTCATGTTTTGCTTTTATTTACTCTATTTAATAATTTATTAGAAAAAATTTCAAAATTTGAGTCTTGTAACAAAATAAACCCTGTATTTTTTATTTTGTTAATTTAAACCCGAATTTTTAAATTTATTTTCAATATAAATCATCAATTGATTTTTATTAAATAAAATTGTCAAAAAAATATTTTTTTAATTATTAAACTCAATGTACATATATAGAATCCCCTCTTATGAAATTTGAAGCCAAGTAAAGACATTTTTGACACTCTTTTTGGCAAAATGAGCTTATAAGAGGTGCCAAATGAAGCATAGCATGTAGTTAAGCAGGCCTTTCTGGTTCTGGCTCGCTCACCTTCCATTAGCTTTACCTGCGTCAAAACTACTATGTAAATACTCAAAAAAAAAAATAAAATAAAAAACCAACCCATTAAAACACAAGAGCAAAAGACTAGTTCACCCTTCATGGCTTAATACATGGCTGCAATACAACTAGATAAGTTTATATCTTTATTTTTTTTTGATAACTCAGGGCTAGCTTGCACGCACCTTGACTAATCCTTGGGGGACCAATCCCACTGTCCACTAGCGGGGGCCCATTTAAAGCCAGAGTAGAGCTCCGTATGGACTGGCCCAACACAAGAGTTGATAAGGTTATATAAGTACATATATATGTCTTTGGTCCAAACATTAACAGATAAACAGAGTTTTCACAACTCAAAAGACTTCATTATCAAACTTCAGAAATATGCCCATGGAGAAAAGCTCTTGACACAGCAACTTCGCTCCATAGGGCACATTCACTCTGACAATATCTTCAGAAATATGCCCAGGCACTGGCCGCTGAATAACATTTGCGATGTTCTTACATTTCCGGCAGATGTGCATTTGGAAGGAGTCACTAAGCGTGAAGAGTCGTGTTGTAGTGTTGACTAATCCTTGGGGGACCAATCCCACTGTCCACTAGCGGGGGCCCATTTAAAGCCAGAGTAGAGCTCCGTATGAACTGGCCCAACACAAGAGTTGATAAGGTTATATAAGTACATATATATGGCTTTGGTCCAAACATTAACAGATAAACAGAGTTTTCACAACTCAAAAGACTTCATTATCAAACTTCAGAAATATGCCCATGGAGAAAAGCTCTTGACACAGCAACTTCGCTCCATAGGGCACATTCACTCTGACAATATCTTCAGAAATATGCCCAGGCACTGGCCGCTGAATAACATTTGCGATGTTCTTACATTTCCGGCAGATGTGCATTTGGAAGGAGTCACTAAGCGTGAAGAGTCGTTCGTGGAGATTGGCTGCTGCACCATGGGCTATAAGGCAGTCACGCTCCATCTCGCCAAATTTGATCCCTCCGAAGCGCTTTCTGCCTGCCATGGGCTGTCTGGTGAGCGGATACACAGGTCCAGTGTTATGGCATTTCACTTTGTCTTCGGACATATGAGTCAGACGCTGGTAGCATGTTGGGCCAATAAATACAAGAGAGTGAATCATCTCACCAGTTCGACGTTTATGGATATGCAGCAAGTATGCCGATGAGTATCAAGGAGCATATCTATATTTATATGACAAAATGAGTGATAGCATCACTCCATTTGTTTTGGCAGAAACATTTTCTCCATAGAAAGCATTTTCCTATTTTTGGTTGCAACCTTGGAACTAATGTGTGAATGATTGTATTAGTTGTGGTGTTAGTGGTGGTTGTGATGGTGGTGGTGGTGGCGGCGTTGGCAGTGGTGGTGGGTTGGTGGTGGCAATGGTAGTGGTATTAGGAAGATTTCAATTTGAAAAAAAAAAGTGAAAAATATTTTTCGTCAAATAAAATTGTTGTCCGTTGACCAAGAAAAATGTTTTCCATTAACTTTTGTTTTCGTCATACCAAATGTCAAAAGATATATAAAACGTTTTCCAGAAAATGTATGGAGCACATATGAAATATAGGCACAATGTAAAAAGATGCCTTCGTAATGGAATTGTTACCTATGAAGCAGATCCATTATGGCATCAATAGAAATAGTGGAAAACGGGGTGGCGTATCTTAGCGAACCACCACATGCAATGCCCTTTCCCAAGGCAGTCTCTAGCAATTGACCAGGAGTCTGACGTGAAGGAAATGCATGAGAATTTATGACAATATCCGGGTCAGTCCCTTTTGTGAAAACCCAAAACACCTTTCTGCCCATGCATGTGAAAAAAATGTGATTCTCTATTAGTAAATCAATCAATGAGAATAAAATTAATATGAAAAAATTAAATCAAAAGTAATACGAGAATTTTACATGATTTTTTCAATGAAAGGTACGTCCATGGGATCGAAATCCGATTCCACTATCAACCAAATAAGTTTCCAAACGATTACAAACGAGACACGAATGGTCTCACAAAACCATCCTTAGGTGAATTCCAAGTAATCACAAATAAATAAGAGAAAAGATATCACCAAATAAATGAACTAAAATCTTCGAAACCAGAATTGAAGAAGACCCAAAATAACCTCCCCAAACCAATTCACACGCACACTACAATGTGCGTAGCAGCCACCAAATCCAAAACCAACCATAGCACGATTTGACTTTCTGATATAAAGAACAAAGGCACTATCTCACCCAAAATTGATGACCACGGATGCAACACTCAAGAATAGTCCAATCTTCGGCTGCCACTTCGGAAGAAATAAAATATATATAGTAAACTTGTGGGCTTTTTTTTTTTTTTTTATAAAACCCTAGTTGTAACCAAATTGAGTTGGATCTCCACAAATTAGATATAATATATTAAAATATATTATACCTAAACCAAACCAAATTAAAATTCTTTTAACAAACTAATTGGGTCCCACATTCCAATAAGGAGATATACCCCAACAATTCTTCCCTTATCGACTTAGGTGGAGATATCAATCATACCTGCCAAAGTTCGATACTTTAAATGTTTGTCCATCGACAAAGTCTTTGTCAACATATCCGAAATATTATCATCCGTGTGAACTTTTTCGAGTTGTAACAGTTTTGAATCTAACACGTCACGAATCCAATGGTATCTCACATCAATGTGTTTCAATCTCGAATGAAAAGTAGAATTTTTACTCAAGTGAATAGCACTTTGACTATCACAATAAAGCACATACCTTTCTTGCTTCAAACCCAATTCTTGTAAAAAAAAATTCAACCATAACTCTTTTTTGCAAGCTTCTTTAATAGCAATAAATTCAGCTTCGGTAGTTGAGAGAGCAACACATTTTTATAATTTAGATTGTCATACCACAGCTCCCCCTGCAAAAGTCATCAAATACTCCAAAAGTAGATTTCTTAGACTCAACATCACCAGCCATGTCAAAATCTGTGAATCCATCAAGTATCGGCTTACCATCTCCAAAACACAAACATACCTTCAAAGCCCCTCGAAGATACCTTAGAATCCATTTTACCGCTGCCCAATGTTCTTTACTCGAATTAGAGAGAAACCGACTCACCACACCAACGGCGTGAGCAATATCCGGCCTTGTACAAACCACGACGTACATCAAAGAACCAACTGTTGAAGCATAAGGAACTTTCAACATCTCTTCCTTGTCTTTCTCACTTGTAGGACATTGATTCGAACTAAGCTTGAAGTGACCTGGAAGTGGACAACCAACCGGCTTTGCTTTATCCAAGTTGAATCTCTCAAGAACCTTCTCAATGTAGCTTTCTTGAGATAACCAAATCAATCTCTCTTTGCAATCACGAACAATTTTCATACCAAGTATTTGCTTTGCCGATCCCAAATCTTTCATAGCAAAAGATTTACTTAACTCTAACTTCAACTTGTTTATCATGGTAGAATCTTGACCCACAATTAACATGTCATCAATATAAAGCAAAAGAATAATAAATTTACCATCCGGAAAATTTTTCACGAACACGCAATGGTTCGAAGTGGTTTTAGAAAAACCATTATTCATCATGAAAGAGTCAAATTTTTTGTACCATTACCGCGGAGCTTGCTTGAGACCAAACAAACTTTTCTTCAATTTGCAAACAAATTTCTCTTTTCCTTTTTCCACAAAATCTTTCAGTTGCTCCATGTAAATTTCTTCTTCAAGATCACCATGAAGAAATGCAGCCTTCACATCAAGTTGTTCAACTTCAAGGTTCATACTTGCAACCATGCCAAGTACAACCCGAATAAAAGACATCTTTACAATTGGCGAGAAAATCTCATCAAAGTCAATGCATTTCTTTTGCCCAAAGCCTTTCACAACAAGACGTGCTTTGTACCTTAGATTCTTGCCATCATTCTTCAATTTGAAGACCCACTTATTTTTCAGAATTTTCCTCCCCTTAGGCAACTTCACTAAATCATAAGTGTGATTTTCAAGTAAGATATCCATCTCCTCTTCCATGGCCTTTTTCTAATCGTCTTTCTTTGCATGCTCAATTGCTTCTTGGTAGCTCTTAGACTCCCTTTGATCGGAAATTAACACAAATTCATTGGAAGGATACTTTCTTGAAGGTTGTCGGTCCCTTGTAGATTTCCTCAACTCAAGTTGTTATAGCGGTTCTTGAGTTGGATGCTCTTCCTCAACTTCTGACTCAACTTCATTAGGATTAGCATCATCCTCTACATCTTCAATAGGTGGCTGCATATCTCCCCCATTTTCATAATCAACTAAAGATGAAGGAGATGGATCCATGTTAATGAGATCATTAGATTTTGGCTCTGGTTGATCGCCTTTGCCAAAGTCTTTAATTGTTTGGTCTTCAAGAAACACAACATCACGACTTCAAATGACTTCTTGTCGACCAGATCCCACAATCTATACCCGAATTCATCACGCCCATAGCCAAGAAAAATAAATTGTCTTGACTTACTATCAAGCTTGGACCTCTCATCCTTTGGAATGTGAACAAAAGCTGGGCAACCAAACATTCTCAAGTACTCATAAGACACATCTTTACTGGTCCAAACTCTTTCTAGAACATCACCATTCAAAGGATAGCAAGGAGACAAATTGATCACGTCAACCGCTGTCCTCATCGCCTCACCCCAAAAGGATCTTGGCAATTTAGCTTATGAAAGCAAACACCTTGTTCTTTCCACAATTGTGCGGTTCATCCTCTCGGCAACGCCATTTTGTTGAGGAGTCTTTTTAATTGTCTTTTGGTGCTGAATACCTTGGCTACGACAATACTTATCAGATGGCCTAATATATTCACCACCGTTGTCTGATCGGATGCACTTCAATTTCTGCCCTGTTACTTTTTCAACCATGGCCTGAAAATGCTTAAATACTTCTAGAACTTGATCTTTAGGTTTTAGTAGAAAAGCCCAAACTTTCCTTGAATAATCATCAATGAAAGTAACAAAATAAAGTGCACCACTATGTGTTTTAACTTTTAAAGGACCACAAACATCCAAATGAATCAACTCCAAAACATTTTCTTTTTTAGAAGCACATTTTTCTGAAAAGAAACTCTATGTTGTTTACCCGCCAAACAATGAACACAAGTTTTGAGATGTGTACCTTTTAAACTGGGTAGAAGCTCTTTCTTGAACAAAACTTGTAGCCCCTTCTCACTCATATGGCTAAGCCGCTTGCGCCATAATTCGGTAGAAGTATCATCTTCAAGTGTATTGATAATACCTTTACAAAATTTTCCTTGCATCGAATAAAGTGTATGAGTCTTCTTACACTTAACTACCACCAAAGAACCCTTTGTGAGCTTCCATATTCCATTACCAAATTTGTTGCTGAAGCCTTCATCATCTAGCTTCCTGGTAGAGATCAAATTGAGGCGAATGTCGGGAACATGCCTCACATCTTTAAGCAACAACTTGCAATCCAAATTTGTTTCCAAGCAAACATCACCCATGCCAATAATCTTGGATAAACCTTCATTACTCATTCGAACAGAACCATAATCTCCTTTGGTGTAGGTAGTGAAGAAATCAGCTCAAGAAGTCACATGAAAAGAAGCACCGGAATCAATCACACAATTACTCTCTTGGCCCACAAAATTGATACAATTATCTTCACAAGCGACCATGAGATCATCGGTAGTAACTGCCGTAGTGTCTTCTTGCTTCTTGTCCACACTTTTGTCACACCTTTTCTCCTTGTTCTTGAGCTTTCGGTATTCTCACTTCATGTGCCCTTTCTCATGGCAATAATAGTACGCAATGTCTTTCTTTGAAAAAGAACCATCTCTTGATTTGTCACGACTTTGATCACGACCATGAGGAGTCTTACTTCTCCCCCTTGTCTTGCTTCGGCCTCCCACAACAAATGCTTCTGAACAAGAGGAACCCGCTGATTTTCTTCTAGTTTCTTCATTCAACAAGCTACTAGTGACTTGGCCCGTTGTGACAACTCCATCGGGCACCGAATTGCTAACTGTCACAACCAAAGTCTCCCAACTTTCGGGCAAAGAACTAAGTAACATCAAAACCTGCAATTCATTATCAAAAACAATTTTCATAGAAGCAAGTTAGTTAACAATACTCTTTATTTCATTCAAATATTCTGAAATAGGGCTGCCATCTTTATATTTTAAATTAATAAACTTACGAAACAGAAAAGTTTTATTTGTGGCTGATTTCCTATCATAAAGGCCCTCTAATTTTTTCCATAAATCATGTGCTGAAGTTTCAGTAGCAACATGATGAAACACACTGTCATCAATCCATTGATGGATAACACCAACGACTTTTCGATTAAGCCTCTTCCATTCATCATCTTTCATATCATCAAGTTTGCCACTATCACCCTCAATAGGCCCATACAAATCTTTTCAAAATAATAGGTCCTCCATTTTAGTTTTCCAAGTTACCCAATTGCTTCCATTGAAGCTAGACATACGACCCACATTCCCCTCTATTGATTTACACAAATAAATAAATCCAAATAAACCGTAAACTCTGATACCAGTTGTTAGGAAAAATATGTGATTCTCCACAAGTAAATCAATCAATGGGAATAAAAACTAATGCGGAAAAATTAAATCAAAAGCAACACGAGAATTTTACGTGGTTCCCTCAATGTAAGGTACGTCCACGGGATCAAAATCCGATTCCACTATCAACCAAATAAGTTTCTAAATGATTACAAACGTGACACAAATGGTCTCACAAAATCACCCTTAGATGAATTCCAAATAATCACAAATAAACAAGAGGAAATACCTCAACAAATAAATGAACTAAAATCTTCGAAACCAGAATTGAAGAAGACCCAAAATAATCTACCCAAATCAATTCACACGCACACTACAATGTGCGTAGCAGCCACCAAATCCAAAACCAACCATAGCACGATTTGACTTTCTGATATAAAGAACAAAGGCACTATCTCACCCAAAATTGATGACCAAGGATGCAACACTCAAGAATAGTCCAATCTTTGGCTGCCATTTTGGAAGAAACAAAATATATATGGTAAACTTGTGGGCTTTTTTATCAAACCCTCGTTGTAACCAAATTGAATTGGGTCTCTACAAATTAAATATAATATATTAAAATATATTATACCTAAACCAAACCAAATTAAAATTCTTTTAACAAACCAATTGGGTCTCACACTCTAATAAGGAGATATACCCAACAGCATGCTAGAGAACTTGTTATCGAGACATGGCGTTCGAACCTGTGCAAGAAACAAACAGTCAAGAATTCAATTGTTAATCAGGAATTGAACTTTTTATGGCAAACGACTGTTGTAGAAAGAAAAAGGCAAAACCTGAACACAATTATGCATGAACATACATGCATACCAAAATTCAATCACAATTATAAAATGAAATTACCTGTCTCAATGATACTACAACAAAGTTTTTTTCCATCATCATTAGCAGATAGCACGACTTTTTGAACCATGCCCCTTTCAGTGTGCTTCAATTTTATACTGTGGTCTACCCTAGATTCAGCACATTTCCCAATGACAATATCACCATTCTGGAGATTTGCTCCAATGAATGGAAAACCATCATTATCAAGGCTGTCAACACGTCTAATTTTGCTCTGCATCTTTCCAAAGTTGACAGTATCCTCATACTTGGGCTTCTTCCCTAATGCTTCCGTATTATCAACCTCAGCTTTGTGGCTTCTTATATATTTGATCTAATGCAAGTGTTATTGTGTTTGGATTATAATCTACAATCTTCAATTTTGAAGGGTAATGGGAGGGCTTTCTGTTCCGGCGCAGATGTTGTTACCCTTTATCAGTTGCTTAATGAAGTGGGTACCCTTTTCATTTTTTTCATTCTTTGTGTGGATTCAGCATTGGAGACTTTTGGTTTTAAGGTATCAAGCTGTTAATGATTAATTTAGGCATTCTTTTAGTTATAGATTTAATGGTAGATTGTTAGAGTTGAAGAAAGAAGAGAGGAAGATGGGTAAGGCTGCAGCATTGGGTGTTTTGTGGACAATATAGATGGAACGAAAGTGAAGGGCTTTTGAGATTGTTGAATTACCCATCCATAGTTTTGAAAGGATCTTCCCTCTTGTTTGGTTGGGAGAGGACTGTTCATTTTGTTTTGTCTTTTGTTTAGTTCAAAGGAGAAATGCATTGGCCTGTCATGTGTAACCGATAGGTTCCAGGCTTTTCGGTGTATAAGGTCTGCACTTTCTGATGCCTTGTACATAATTTTGACTGTACAGGGTTCACACTTTTAGGTGCTCTGTACAGGTTCACCCCCTTCTGGTGGTTTGTCTATAAAAAAAACTTACAAAAGGTAGATTTTAATATAAAATTAAAGATTTAAGGAATCCAAGCTGATTCTTGTTTTTATTTTTTGAACACCCAAGCTGATTCTTGTTGTCACCAAGTGTCATGGCACCAAAGGCTTAAGGAATATCTTCAACTTGGTAAGAATGGTTGAAGTGGATAAGACACCTTTAATGCTGTATGATTACTCTTATGAAAAATCTGACATGCAAAGGCATTTTTTCTACCATGATTGACAAAATTATTAGATTGGCTCGAGTTACCTCCTTGCTTGCTAGGGCTTTTAGATTATTTTCCTCCAGTAGACTGAAAGCCACGTGCCCCTAGTTCTATATTTGTCAGTTCTGTCACTACTAGTTCTGTGCCTACTAGTATTTCCATTTTGAATAAAGCCTTTTCATTTAGAATTGAATCCATTTTGTGTGTTATTCTTTCTGTGATTTTGACCACAATTAGGCTTTTTGATCCATGAAACTATTTGAGGTAGACTTGGACCATGAAGTTTAGTATGAGCTTCATGTCTCTGGAGAAGAGGAATAATATCATGATAAGAATAGGAGGTTTATGAAGAAGGGACGTTTGCTGCATTAATTGGAATTCTCTCTTTCACAGATTTGTCTATACACGTCTTTTTAGCCTCTCCAATCATCATGAGAAGAGGTAAGTCTGACTGCCAGCTAAGTAACCTCATCTGACGAGGTTTCGGTGATCCAGTTATGATGGAAACCACCAGACCATGTCCATGCTATAAAAGTTGGATTTTCAACTTCCCTTCGTCCTACAGGGTCAGCCTTTTTAATCACACAATGATAGCACGACTTGCATATCTTGGCTTTCAATTAGGGCAAGCATGTGGGTTCTCCATAACATATAATTAATATGGTTTATAATAGAGTTATTATTATCTGTAAAATCAAGCATTCGATGGTGTTGGTTCTGATGGTGTTCCCAACCTTTAATTATGTGCAGGGAAGGTTGAAGAAAGTAAATTTTTTTTTTCTCCAAAGATTGTATAAGTTCGTGTACCTTTTAGGAACATATCTGAAGCCACATGTGAGATTAATATTGTATACGTTTCTCTTCCTGGAATGTTCCGTGTGGTGACTGATAAAACCGTTTGTCCACTAACACAAACTACTAGATGCAATTGATTTTATTAAATATTGCTGATTTGATCTTTAGCTGAAGTTGAAATTTTAATGACATGAGCATTGAATATCAAAAAATTCAAATGAAATAATTTTATCATTATGCAGTATAACTTGCATTCTATCAAACAACCTTGCTATGCACTTATCATGGCTAGCAATAGTTTAATTTAAAGATTGTGTCTTATAATTACATGGAATAGAATTTTGTTGAGGATTTAGTCATTACAACAAACTCAACTCAACTCAACAGCGCCTTATTGTAACATTTTGGATTGTTCCAATGAATCCTATTTCCTGATTTTGCTTTGTGTAGGCTATATGCTGCCATGTCTTTTGTAACTCCACTTTAGTTTTTGTCTCTCTCTCTCGCCTGTAAAATAGCCCTCAATTTGGACTATTATCATCACTCTTCTTTACTAGTAAAGTTCTTTGCTTTGGATAGTGTTCTTTCTTTCTTCTCAAATTATTGCCATTTTCATTGTCTAATGTTTATTTTTGTGTTTTTTACATGTGCATCTCAATGTCCACATTTCCATCACACTTGTTAATGATTGTTTTATTGTTAACATTGTCTAATTGAATTGCAGGTCTTTGCTACTCCAGAAGCCCAAATGGGTTTCCATCCTGATGCAGGGGCCTCCTACTATCTCTCCCGTCTACCTGGTTATTTACGTAACTCATAATATAAAATAATAGAATGCTTCCTTGTTGTTAGTAATGGGCGCCCATGTGGCATGACCATTTGAACATAATTTGGATCTTATCCAAATAGGTTTTGAATTAAATTCAAACCTATTTAGGATAACCACTCAGGATATAGATATTATCAGTTTTAACTGATATGGATAAATAATAATAATATAATATATATCTGATATATGGTTATGGGTAACCAAGAGAGAAACAACGTAGGTTTTGTTTCAACCCATAAACTTACTCTCTCCCAAGAAACAACGATCAAGTCATTTGCACTGTGGTTTGTGTGGGTGATATTCACCATTGTAATATCACCCCACTGCTGGGTTTGATTGATTAGATTCTGGAAGCACGTGATTTATCCATGAGGTTTTAGATCGAATCAGGTATGATCTAAACATTTTATTCCGCTGCAAGTTTTGTGATCTCTGATTTACACTTGTCACTTAGGTTTAAATCAGTTATTATACCCAATATTTGGTTGCAACTATGTCTTATGAAATTGTCTTGTGTTGGAAAGATGCACCCTCTTTCTAGCTATATAAATCTTGTTTCCATTATCTATAACACCTCTTAGCATTATGATTTGTATGTGAACCCTATATATGAACATTTTTAAGGATTAGGCTTGAAAAACTGCTACTTTTGCTATTTATAAAAATACTCTTAAATGATGATTCTAAGAACTATTTCCAGCTTTTTATTATACAGATTTCTTTTCCTTGATATTATAATATCTTTTTATACATGCGTATATATCTCTTGTATATATATATATGTAGGTAATTTTTATTATAGATTGCCAAGTTGAGTTAAATTCTTTCTTATATAAATGCAGAAAATTATTTGCAAAATTTAAAATCCTTTTATTTTTTTTACCTTTACAGGGGAATACTTGGCTCTAACAGGGGAAAAACTTAATGGAGCGGAAATGATCGCCTGTGGCCTTGCTACACATTATTCACTGAATGCAGTTTGTTCTCAGTTCCTTTTTCTTCACCGAGTGTATTCATGCTTTATTTCAATGTGTAAGTAGCTGTGTGGGTGAAAATCTGACCACACTGCCCGTTTAGTGATCAGCTGGAGAGCACAGGCAGAATAGATGGCTTTAGCAACCTGTAACAGAAAGAAAAAGCTCCGGCGGTGGTTCTTCCACCCGGAGGCACTCCGACGATCAAGTCAGTATATCTCTCAAAGATAATCAAGTGCTAAACTGAATACTCAAAACATAAATTGCATACCTTAGACCCATGGGGGTGCCTCTCTTTTATAATATACTCAATCCAAGTCCCAATAGAAGTATGACTTCTATGAACTTCATATCAATGTTTACTTTGGATTCTTTAAGAGATAAAGATAAACTCCCTAAGAGCTTTATCCTTATCTTGGTTAAGTCCCCTCTCCGTCTTAAGACTCTTGTCCTTTATCTCGGATTCCGATATCTTCGGAGATAACCTCGGCTTCTACGAAATTATCTCGGCTCAACTACCAGGACACGTGACACCTCGGCTTACACGTCGGCGTCACCATGCCACGTGTTGGTATTCAGAAAATACATCCCCACAACTGCCCCCTAGGTTCTATTACCTCGACACGTCGGCGTTACCATGCCACGTGTTGGTATTCAAAAAATACATCCCCACAACTGCCCCCTAGGTTCTATTATCTCGACATTCTGAGGTGATGGAACCTATTCCGATATTTTATTACTTCTTTTCTGAGTAGTGGCTCAAAAACTGATTAGCCAAGATTATCCACTTTCAGCCGATGTGTTCTCTTCGGAGAACAAGGCTTCGATCGTACTCTCCCACGCGCATGAGCTGTCATGCATATCTAACCGTTCCTTTCACGTGTTTTGTCTTCATTGGAGCGTGTCGGTGACGCGCCTGAAAGCTGTCTGTTCGTTCGTCTGCGCCGTCTGACGCGTGCGTTGCTCTAGGCGTAATAATTGCCCTATTTTTGCCGCCGTTTCACGTTTTTGACAAAACTTTTCCTTTGCCTCTATTTTTCCTTCACTTTTTCATTCTTTCTTCTTGCTCTTTCTCTCTCTGAAAGCTCTTTCTTCGTCGAATCTGCCACTGCTTCGATCTCTCTTCTGGAACTGCTCTTAATCCCTCATTCTTGCGAAGCCTTCTTCGCTGTTGCAACCGGTTTCTGAGCTCGGCGAACATTGCCCCGGCTTCATTTGTTCCGGTAAGATTCATTCCCTTCAATGTTAATTTCTCTTTATGTGCTTTTGTCTGCCTGTTGCCATTACTGATCTTGTTCGAAGCCTTGGATTTATTTGTTCCTTGAATTGTGGCTACACCTTGAACTTCTATACTTTTTCACCATTCTTCTTGCCGCTGTTCTTGATTTTTTTTTACTTCTGTATCTCTATTGTTTCTGAGAGCTATACCTTTATTCTTGAATCTGAAACTTCGTCTTTGTTTTCTGTTTTTCGTATCTGTCCTAGATCTGTGCCTTTGATCTTTATCTTCATAGCTCATAGATTTGGAATTTGTCTGTAGAACCTTTAATCTTTAGGGAAAACTAAAAAACGCCCATCTTCTGAAACACATTTCTCTTAGCTTAAGCCGACATAATGGGTATGTGGAGGCATAGGGTAAATACCCCAACAAAACTAGAATCCTTTAGGCAGGAATTCTCTATCCCAGCCGATGTTCATCTTAAACTAGCTGGGGACGGTGATACCATCATGCCCACAGACCATACGATGCCCTTCCCTATAGTAGCTTTCACTGAATGTGGACTCCGGCTTCCACTTCATCCCCTTTTCCGTCATGTTCTTTATTTCTATAAGCTGAACCCCATGCAACTTACTATTAACTCCTATAGGGTGATCAATGGTATTATAGCCTTAGCTAGGCAAGAGAACCTTAGAATTACCCTGGCCGACCTTCAATACTGCTATACCATGTGCCCTCTTGACCTGAAGGATAGGGGTTTCGTTTATTACCTTAAACCGAGATCCACTCAGTACAAAATCGTAGCCGACCTCCCAGACTCCAACAAGGGGGCTGGAGATGATTTTCTCATTGCTTCTGGAAATTGGGAATTTGGCCCAGATGAAGATGTCCACCTCTACCCTCTTCCTCGAACAATTACAGAGGGCAAGAGTAAGAGCCCTGAGTCAACACTTAGTTGTTTTTATTTAAGATTTTAATATTTTATTTCTGACGCCCGTTTCTTTGCAGATCTTCATCAGCCACCGAAAAATAAAATAAGGAGCTGAAACAACTTCGTTGTTCACACACTGTGTACATTCTGTCTTTATTTCTATTCACACACTGTGCTTTCTACTTTGTACTTTTTGTCTTTATTTTTGTTTACACACTGTGCTTTCTGCTTTGCACTTTTTGTCTTTATTTCTGTTTATACATGTTAACTCACAAATTATTCTTTGCAATTTTGGGCCTACGCGTACTTTCCGGCTTTTGCCCCAGTGCCGATAGACGAGATAGTGCCAGCCGACTCCTACTTCCAATGGTATAATGGTAGATGTTGTCCTAGACGTTGTAAAGACATGACTTTAACTTATGATCGTCAATATTTTGATATGGTGACAACACGAGAGGTAGTCTGAAACTTATACCCATTCCATTCCGTCCATACTGCTTTGAGCCACTCTTTGCTACTACCAATAACTGAAAACGGTGAATTCTCTATTTGTAGATCACATGGCATCCTTGGGTGATGATGCCTGCCGGGATACAAAATCAATACGTTGGCTCTTGAGACCCCTGTTTCAGAAATCTTGTAAAGGTGTTATGTGTTTCATCTTCCGTTATCTTTCATTTCTAAGCACTCTTAGGCATGCATTGAGCATCATAAATGAGTTAAAAGGATAAGAAAGAAGCCTAAGAGGAATGTATGAATTAAGAACGG